TTCGCCTGCATTTTTTTTCAAAATGCTGCTCCCGCTGAGGCGCCAGCCTCATTTTCGGGCCCCGCTCGTTCCGAATCGTGCTCCCGCTGCAGCGCTGGCCTCATTCCCGAGCTTCCGCTCGTTCCGAATCGTGCTCCCGCTGCAACGCTGGCCTCATTTCCGCGTTTCCGCTCGGTCGGAATCGTGCTCCCGCTGCAGCGCTGGCGTCATTTCCCGTGCCATGCCACGGCATGCAATGCAATGCTAGATTGCGTTCCGCTGCGCGATGCCATGCCTTCAGCTGAAGCTGTGATATGCAATGCTTAAGTGCCACGTCGTGCTATGCCATGCTACGCTTTGATCTTCAACGCCACGCTCTGCAATGTTCTGTTCGGGGCCGCTGTGCGATGCCATGCTTTGCGTTCTAAAGCTTTGTGCTGCAATTCTTGACTACGCCACGCCACGCCATGCTGTGACATACTGCGTTTCGCGGTGCTCTTCTACGCCATGCCATGCCGTGCTCTACAATGCATCGCGTACCCTTTCGGGATCATTGCCCTGCTCGACATCCGACTGTGCGAGTAGAGAGGGGATCTACGCCGTGGTAAGGGATGGGAGGGAGGGGTCGGATGTCAGATATGACGCGAGCGCACCTAGCTTGCCTCCCTCCCCTCCCTCCCCTCCCTCCCGTCCCTCCCCTCCCTCCACAATTACTCAATATGATTACTACTCTCTTCCTTCCCCTGATGACGGGTTGGGAGTGTTCGCCCCCCCCCCCCGCGTATTGTTTTTACATACAGGATTCTCCGGAGTTGGGTTTTCGCCTGCATTTTTTTAGAAAAATGCTGTTCCCGCTGAGGCGCCGGCCTCATTTTCGGGCCCCGCTCGTTCCGAATCGTGCTCCCGCTGCAGCGCAGGCCTCATTTCCGTGCTTCCGCTCGTTCCGAATCGTGCTCCCGCTGCATCGCTGGCCTCATTTCCGCGTTTCCGCTCGTTCCGAATCGTGCTCCCGCTGCAGCGCTGGCGTCATTTCCCGTGCCATGCCACGGCATGCAATGCAATGCTAGATTGCGTTCCGCTGCGCGATGCCACGCCTTCAGCTGAAGCTGTGATATGCAGTGCTTAAGTGCCACGTCGTGCTATGCCATGCTACGCTTTGATCTTCAACGCCATGCTCTGCGATGTTCTGTTCGGGGCCGCTGTGCGATGCCATGCTTTGCGTTGCGTAGCTTTGTGCTGCAATTCTTGACTACGCCACGCCACGCCATGCTGTGACATACTGCGTTTCGCGGTGCTCTTCTACGCCATGCCATGCCGTGCTCTACAATGCATCGCGTACCCTTTCGGGATCATTGCCCTGCTCGACATCCGACTGTGCGAGTAGAGAGGGGATCTACGCCATGGTAAGAGATGGGAGGGTGGGGTCGGATGTCAGATATGACGCGAGCGCACCTAGCTTGCCTCCCTCCCCTATCCTACCCTCCCATCCCCCCCCTCCCCTCCCCCTCCCCCCTCCCCCTCCCCCTTTTCCCCCTCCCCAAGTTACGCCTTCTGGCAAGAGTCTGCCATCAGTTCCGACGAGGGACTACGCAGTATAATAATCATTACCGCCAGCACCACTATGGAATCCATGTGGGAACATGATGACAATATTGAGGGAATGAGGTCCAGGGAGTCTGTAATGAGGTTCCGTCTGACCTTCTGCTTATAGCTCTTCTGATGTCAACTCGTCAATCGGCGTTCTAGCCGCCAACTCCCGAAGAAGACGGACGGCTTCCGTAGGCCGGACAGGTAGAGTATGGGACAGCTCAGGAGAGATGGGTAGGTCGAAGTGGAGACGGAGGAGAATTCCAGTGGAGACCGATCGGCGAGTCACAAGCCTGCGTTGCCGCTGAGGCTTGCTCCTCGTCTTGACGACGCCCTTTTTCTCTTCGTCCATCTTGAACTAAATTGCAGCGTTACGGCGAAAGTCGGCCTGAAGCTCCTGACCTAGAGTGCAAAATACATTGCAACCCATCCCTGGAGGCGGCGTTGCCGCTAAGCCCCCAGAGATCTTGAGACACATGGCGGTGCAAGCTATCGTGTCAACCGAGGCCAAAGTCGGCCCACGGTCAACATGCGTTATCCCACTTTGTGGGGTAAAGGTCTTCCATCAGTAAAGGCCAACGTCGGCCCACGGTCAACATGCGTTATCCCACTTTGTGGGATAAAGGTCTTCCAACAATAAAGGCCGAAGTCGGCCCGCGGCCAACATGCGTTATCCCACCTTGTGGGATAAAGGTCTTCCAAAAGTGTAATAAATCGGAATCTCTGAGAACAGGCAGGTCCGGAGTGGCGGGTAGCCCAAAGCCAGGCCGCCGCCAAATACAGAGGGAGACGGGGAAAAGGAGGGGTATACCAATGCTTCCATGCATGCTAGTACAAGGATCACGCCATGGAAAATCGTTCCTTTGGGATTCCTTGCCTCCAAGTGATGATAAGCACTGGGCAGACTACCATGTAGAAGGCGACTATACCATGCCTCACGCACCGCACGTCACAACTACAAGAAGTCTGCATGCACATGCTCTAACTCCATATGCTGCTGATGCTTATGCTACGCTGCCTGATTCACATGGCTGGAGGCCCCCCCTACACACGCTCCTCCTTCGGAGTCCTGTGCAGTGGGACGTGCGCAGGGACACTGACAGTCCCGATCGCACCCAACATCGATCGGGGTGTAGGGGGCGCTCAGGTGCTCTGGCGCTGCGCGCGCTCAGATGCCCCACAAGCCGAAGTGGGCCCTGACCTTCGCCATGTGGTCGGGCCACTTGCTCTTGGTGAGCCCGTCGGCGCGCGTCGGAGCCGTCTCCGCGTCGATCAGCTCCAGCATGCCGCGCTCAACTCGGCTCGGGATGGCGTTGTCCTTACTCATGAGGTTCCTCGTCTTCCAACTGCCGCGACCCTCGGCGATGTGGTTCGCCGCTTGGTTGTCGCCGTGGAGGACTGCGGTCGTCTGCAACTCTATGGAATGGGCGACCGCCTCCAGACCGTAGAGCACCTGGCAGTTCATCTCCGCCTCGGCCGTCGAGAAGCAAACCAACTGCTGCCTCAAGCTGCGCCAGTCGACCAGCATGCGCCCCTGCATGAAACAAGCAACGCCTGTGTGCGCGCCCGCATCGCCATGGGTGGCATCCGAGAAGACGTCCAACTGGCAGATGAGGTCCTGCAGCTCGTGGGGTGTGTGTGGGGGGTGGGGGGTGGGGGGGGGGGTGCTCAGCACGTAGACCAGCGCCAACTGGCGGGTAGCCGCCAAGTACCGCAAGACCTTCTTGCCCACAACGAGGGACGTACGTGGCCTCCGAGTCGCATGGCTGGAGATCCGCGAAACGCTGTAGGACAGGTCTGGCCGAGTGCGGCTCGAAAGCCAAAGGGGGCCACCTGCCATCCGTCGCGCGCCGCGCACACCATCAAGGTCAGGCTTCTCCTCGTCGTCCTCGGGCTGGAAGGGCAGGTAGATCTCGTCGTCGGGGTTGATCGACTGGCAGCCGTTGCACTGGGCCATATTCCACTTCATCAGCATGTCGTTGACGTATTCGTGCTGGCTCAGCGTCAGGCGGTAAGGGTCTATGCCGATGTCGATGGACAAGTGCCGAATGTCCCGGACAGTCCGGGGAGATGATCTTCTGGGAACTCGTAGTCCAGAGCGCGCCGATGGAGGGCTGCAGGGTCCTCACCGCGTCCTCGGAACCCATGAGCAAGAAGCCGTCCACGTAGCTCAACGCATGACCCAAGACGTCGTCCACCCCGTTAGCCTTGACGAGCCAGACCGAGCTATCGACCGCAGACTGGTCGAGGTGGCACTGGAGCGCGCCGACGGTGAACGTCAGCTTGCGGAGCTCCGCGTCGCGCAGATCGCCCCAAGCCTTCGGTGAGCACCTCGGGCCGTAGATGGCCCTCTCGGCCACCCAGAGCTCGCCCGCCGGCAGCAGCCCGAACTTGACGAAGATGGCCGGTGGGCGAATGACCACTCGCTTCTTGTCCACAGGGAGGAACGCGCTCAGAAACGCGGTAGAGACGTCGAGGGCCGACGCGCTCCAACGACGGTGCGCGCGCACGGCGAGCGCCATGCGGAGGCTGGCAATGTCCAAATTCTGCGTGAAGGTCTGCTCCGCGGGGTCCACCGCCTCGAAATTGCCGCACGCGCAGCCGCGCGCCTTGAAGCGCCAATAGCCAGAAGCGTTTGGAGCCTTCTGCCCCGCAACCACATTCATGGGCAGTATTTCGGAAGGCTTTACAGAGTGCGCCTCCGAGGCCGTGATGGGGGCGAAGACAAACGTCCTTCAGGCTGTTGAGCTCGCTCTCGAGTGCCGCTCGCCACTTCTCCCTGGTCATCCCGATCGTCTTCGCAATCTCCGCGCACGTGGCGATGCCCAGCCCGCTGTCCTTCGCGATCTTGGCGAACTCGGGAGGCGCATTGTCGTCGTCCGCGGCGAGGGTGACCTGCTCCGGGGCCGCGGTGGCAAAAGCCACAGGAATAAATTCGAAATGCTCCACCATGTGAGAAGAAGGCTGAGGATCAGGAACATCACGATGACCGAAGCCTGCGAGTGCAGCTCGTTGATGCTTGTCTCCTCCTGATCCCAAATTGCACCTGTGGTCCCTGGTGTGCTCGACATGTCGGCCGCGGCAGGCAGGGCAAGAAAATCCTCCACCGGGGGCTCCGCGATCGAAGGGCTGCTCGCCGGCGTCGCTCAGGAGAGGCCCGCGCCGGCAACGCGCGTCTCGAGTGCGCGTGCGGTGGAGGCCGCGGCACGCAGGACAAGTGATGTCTGTCGGCACCACCTCCTCGAACAATCTCGGTCACCGTCTGCGTGGGCAGGTCGTCGAATATGGTCGTCCGATGATCCCGCGGGTGGAGGGGGCTCCAAGGGCGCATTCAGGTCGCCACTGCTCTTGGGGCTCTGGCCATCAGTGCCTTCAAAGACTCCTCCGAGACCGTGGTCAACATGAAGTGCACCTTCCGGAGATCCAGCGCCGGTCGATTCAACAGGTGGCGCCTCTGCAACTCCATCTGGTAGAGCTCCTCCTGCTCCTGGATCCTCGCCGCGAACGTTTTGAGCGCCGCCGGGGTCCTCAGGCGCCGCTGCGAAGGGCGACGAGGACTCGATGACCGACCGCTGCTCAGGTCGCTTCGCGGTGAGGTCCTTCCGCCCGATCAACCATTTGCTCTCCGCGTCCACGCCCAGGGGCGCGGCGTCGCGCGCCCGCTCTGCCCACGTGGACGAAGGGACATCCTTGATGCGAGCGCAGACCTTCGCAAGGAAAGCGGGGCGCTTCACTGGTCGATCCCGTGCGTGTATCATGGAGCAGCACGCAGAATGTTGCACGGCGCACGCCTGCAAGGCCTGCCGGTTCAGGGGGTCGCCGAAGGAGAGGGGCATTGCCCTGGCCCTCAGCTTCGCCACGCCGATCCCGCGCTCGGCCCGGCCATTCGAGCTGGGCTCGAAACCCGGCGTCGAAGTAACAGCTATCGGAGGGCTCTTCGCCTCGAAGTGCCGCTTGATCTGGCCCCCCGTGAGGTTCCCAGCTCGATCACCATGGATGCGGTAGCAAAAGTTGGGCCCTCGACCTCCAACCGAAGCTGGGCAAGGATAGACTCGATAGCATGAATGCAACTGGCGGCCTTGAGGTTCTCCAGCGGCGCGCAGAAATACCAAGTCTTGGAGGCCATGCCGCTCTCGTTCTCGACCTCGTCGCCGGCCGCGATGCTGGGGTCGCCGCCCGGGGAGAGCTTCTCCTCCTGTTCTCCGGGGGGCTCGAGCTTCGGCCAGCCAGGCCGCGCCGAAGGGCCGAAGTTGGGCGCGCAGACGCTGGGCCCAACATGATTCGCCCGCAGCTCCAGGCCCTCGAAGGACTTCGCCCCGAACATGGCCGCCACCTTCTTCGCCAGCTCGGTGTCCTGCTCGACGGAGTCGCCCGCGACCGCGGCGTCGAGTCGAGGGGCGCCACCGATGTCGGACTCTCCCGGCGCCGTCGGCTCAGGGCTGGGGAGTGGGGAGCCTGCGAGCGCGTTCTCCTTCGCGATCAACTCCAGGCGCTCGCGGCCCCTCTTGGCAGCCGGAGTCTCGGCGACGTAGGCCCCGAGAAGGAAGTGAACGGCCTGCTTCGCCGAGTTCTCGGGGCGGCTGGAGGGCCACCGCCCTGGGAGGTGCGGCCCGAAGTGTCAATGCTGAGCTGGCCTCTGGTCCTCGTGGAGACGTCGAAGCGGAGATGGGCTCGAAGGCGACCGCTCGCTCCGCGACAGCCTGCGCAGTCGGGTCGAACGCTGATGCGCCCGCCGCCCATGTGCTCCTGAAGCAGCTCGGGACGACGGAGTCCAGCAGCGAGAGCGCTCATGCGCTCATCTATGGTGGCGCGCTTCGCCTGGTGCCTGGGATCGCGCAGGAACTCTGCATCGCCCTCCTCAATGTTGATCGCGCCCTTCTCGCGGAGCAGGGTGATGACCTCGCCCGTGGGGCAGCTCAGGGTGCGTGCCGAGGAACTCCGTGAAAGGTCTAGGCTCATCTCGTCTATGTAGCAACCCAGCGGGGAGCGCCATTGGAGGTCCTCACCCAGCGCATGCGCGACGTCTCCCACCATCGCGGCCTCTCCCACCCCTGTTGCCGTCTCCAGCGGGGCCGGGGCGGCGCATTCAGGCACGTCGCTGAAGGACTCGATGCCACGAAGCTCGTGGGTGGCGCCAGTGTCCGCGAGGATCCAGCGCTTGCCGTCCTTGACCAGAAACCTCCTCGCCTGCGGGCCGTCGGAGACCTTGACCACCTTCACGATCGGCGGCTGCCCGCGCGAAGGCGGAGCCGAAGCAGCCGGTGGCGGCGCGGGCGCTGCTGTCGAAGCAGGCGCAGCTGTCGGCGCAGACGCGCGCTGACCGTGATCAGGAGGAGCAGCGGCCGCGGCCGAAGACGGACTCCAGGGGGGCGGGGGTGGAAGGACATCGAGGACATCGTTGAACTCGTGATCGTCGTCGTCGTGGAAGTCGGCGAGGCCTCGGGGGCGACGAGATCGAGCAACGCGCCCGGCAGGGACTGCCGAGGAGAATCCATGCTCCACGAAGGACCTCAGCTCCTGTCGCACGATGCCGCTGACGTCGCTGGTAGTCAAGGGACTCGGAATTGCAACCGCTGCCGACTTGCCAGTGGCTGCCGGCCTGCCCGCCTCGTCCGCGCCAGCGGCCGAAGTCGATGGAGATCCTGCCGAGGCTTCCTTCTGGTCCTCCGCCTGGCCCCTCTTGGCCTTCGCCGGAACCTTGGGCTTCCGCGGCTGGCGGCGAGCTGCCGTGTCATGGCCGCCCGCGCCGCAATTGAAGCAGCGCCCATCGGTCGGCTCTTGTCGGGCGCCATCCGACTTGCAGTGGCGCATCGGGCATGGCCATCCCGCGCTGCAACCCGTCGCGAGGTTGTTGAAGCGCGGGCAGATGGCCACGCCCTTACCTCCCGCGGCTTCCTTGTCCTTCCCGAGCTTGCCCTTCGGGTCGCCTTTGGCCGGATTGCCGCCCTTCGGGTCGCCCTTGGTCGGCTTGCCCTTGCTGGCGGCTGCAGCGGCAGCGGCGGCTGCTGCTCGAGCCGCCTTCGTCGAAGGATTAGGGGGGTCCTTCTCCTTGACGTCGCCCGAGTGCTCCCGAGCCTCGGCACCCAAGTACCTCCAGAGAAGATCTACTTGCGCTTGATTGACCGTCCCGGCCGCGAAGTTGTTCTGCACCAGGAACGCGAAGAAGCGGTGCTTGAACTCCTCGTTACTCTCTAGGAGCTTGCTCGCGGTCTGCTTCAGGGCCGCCATTTGAATGGGCGGGTCAGGCAGGCTGGCGTCGTGGGTGACCAAGCGGTTCAGCGCGAACTTCCACTCTGCAAGCTCGTTGTAACCCCTTTGACCTCCACCGCCTTGCCTTTCGGCGCTCGCTCCAAGACTGCGTGCTTGTCGCTCCCTGCCCCCGGCCCTGCGCCCACGTGCGCGGTGAAGAGAATGTCGCGCGTGCTGACGAGCTTCGTCGATAAGCGCATGGCCTTCGCCTTTTTCGGGGCGAGGTGGAGGGGTGTGTGGGGGGGGGGGGGGGGGGGGGGGGGGGGGGGGGGGGGGGGGGGGGGGGGGGGGGGGGGGGGGGGGGGGGGGGGGGGGGGGGGGGGGGCGGCAGGGTGCGGAGCTCGATCGCGTGGAAGGACGAGGTCTCGAACGGCTCTGGCGCAATGGCGATCGGCCGCACGGCGCGGCGCATCAGCGGGCCCTCCTGGAGGTGCGGGGCATGAGCGCGCTGCGCAGAGTCAAGGCACAGAGGCCAGTAGCGCTTGATGTGCCAGTGCAGCCCTCCCAGATCCAGGCCAACCGACTCCACCCAGTGCTCCAGGTTCGACGGCTTGGCCACGGCGCCCTCGCTCCACGTGAGCTGATGGAGCTCCGCGGCCTTGATCTTGGAGAGCACGGCCCCCAGGCCAGCGTCACGCTGCGGAGGGCCCTGGTGGATCGCAGCGGCTGCGGCTGCAGGGTCGGGCGGCGGCGGCGGCGGAGGTGGAACTCCAGGTGCTCGTCCGCGACCTCCCTGAGGTAGAAATCCTCCAAGAACGAAGCCATGGCCTCCTCCTGGGTCGTCGTCCCCACCGCCACCTCCACCTCCTGGGGCACCTGGAGCGCCGCCATGGTGACGACCACTACCTCCAACACCTCCCTGGGGCTGCTGAGGAAGTCCTCCGAAGCCGCCCTGATGACCACCATGTTGATGATGATGCTGAGAGGGGTCCTTGAGCCGGGGAGCAGCGTGGTGAAGGAGTGCAGCTGCGTGCGCATGCTGAAGGTGGTCGAACTGTGGCGAAGCAGCAGCGGGGTGAACATAAAGTCGACGAGGATCACCGTGAAGAGCACCAGGATGATCCTGATGAAGACCAGGGGGTACTTCCTGCAGGTTTCGGGATGGCTCTTGGGAGGCCTCCTGCTGCATCGTCTTATCCTCGTGCTCGTACTCGGCGGCGATCTGGGCAGCATTCGGCTCGTAGTCCTCGTCTGGCTTGGGCGCGTCGGAATCGTCCGCGTCGAGCTTGGCAGCAACGCACGACGAGGGCGCTGGGTCGCCAGGTTTCGCCTGGCCGCTCTGGGGTGCACCCTTCGCGGGCTTAGGCGCAGCAGGGTCCGGCGTGGCGAACCCGCTCCTGGCCTCAGCTGCCGACGCCACCGAGGCTGACGAACGCAGCTGGACGTTCTCCGCCCTGAGCTGCTCCATCTCGCGCTTCATGGAAACCATGTCCGCCATGAGGCTCTTCAGCTCGCTGCCAGACTCTGCGGTCTCGAAGGACACTGCGGCCCCGCTGCCCGCGTCCGAAATGTCGTACTCTTCCAGAGCACGAGGCCGCTGAAGAGGTGCAGAATTCGGGGCCGCGCCCGAAGTCGAGGAAGCCAGTGCGTCGAGGGCGCGGAGGCCCTGACATGCGGACGCGGCTCCGGCGGCCATGCCAGTGACCAGCCGGGCGGTCCCGCCCACGGCGCCAGTGGCGACGGCTCCGAGGGCCTGGCCCGCGACGGTGCCCGTCGAGGCCATGAGGCGGCTGAAGGCGGCGCCTCCTTGCGCGATCATGTGCTGCGCGCGGTGGTGGCTGTAGGCGTAGTCCAGGCTCTGCGCGCAGCCGTTGCACACCGCCTGGCCCAGCCTGCGGGTGACGCAATGGCTGTGGACCGACCCACCGCATGCCGTGCAGGTCACTGACGGGCCTGCCAAAATATCACCACAGCATGGGCATGTACGCAACATCCACGTAGAAATAGAAGGTGATATTGATGTAGACGGAAGGGCTCCCATGAATCCAACGCCCCTCGGAGTTGGGCTCATAGCCCCAGTTACGCCTCCCGGCAAGAGTCTGCCATCAGGTCCGACGAGGGAGTACGCACTAGAATAATCATTACCACCAACACCACTATGGAAGCCACGTGGGAACATGATGACAATATTGAGGGGAATGAGGTCCAGGGAGTCTGTAATGAGGTTCCGTCTGACCTTCTGTTTATAGCTCTTCTGATGTCAACTCGTCAGTCGGCGTTCCAGCCGCCAGCTCCCGAAGAAGACGGACGGCTTCCGTAGGCCGGACAGGTAGAGTATGGGACAGCTCAGGAGAGATGGGTAGGTCGAAGTGGAGACGGAGGAGAGTTTCAGTGGAGACCGATAGGCGAGTCACAAGCCTGCGTTGCTGCTGAGGCTTGCTCCTCGTCTTGACGACTCCCTTTTTCTCCTCGTCCATCTTGAGCCAAATTGCAGCGTTACGGCGAAAGTCCGCCTGAAACTGCTGACCTATAGTGCAAAATACATTGCAACCCATCCCTGGAGGCGGCGTTGCCGCTAAGCCCCCAGAGATCTTGAGACACATGGCGGTGCAAGCTATCGTGTCAACCGAGGCCAAAGTCGGCCCACGGTCAACATGCGTTATCCCATTTTGTGGGATAAAGGTCTTCCAACAGTAAAGGCCAACATCGGCCCACGGTCAACATGCGTTATCCCACTTTGTGGGATAAAGGTCTTCCAACAGTAAAGGCCAAAGTCGGCCCACGGTCAACCTGCGTTATCCCACTTTGTGGGATGAAGGTCTTCCAAACGTGTGATAGCTCGGAATCTCTGAGAACAGGCAGGTCCGGAGTGGCGGGTAGCCCAAAGCCAGGCCGCCGCCAAATACAGAGGGAGACGAGGAAAGGAGGGATATACTCATGCTTCCATGCATGCTAGTACAAGGGTCACGCCATGGAAAATCATTCCTTTGGGATTCCTTGCCTCCGAGTGATCATAAGCACTGGGCAGACTACCATGTAGAAGGCGACTATACAATGCCTCACGCACCGCACGTCACAACTACAAGACGTCTGCATGCACATGCTCTAACCCCATATGCTGCTGATGCTGATGCTACGCTGCCTGATTCACATGGCTGGAGGGCCGCCCCTACACACGCTCTCCCCCCTCCCCCTCCCCCGTCCGCCTCCCCCGTCCCCCCCCCCCCCCCCTCCCCCTCCGCCTCCCCCTCCCCCTCCCCTCCCCCTCGCCCCTCCCCCTCCCCCTCCCCCACCCCTCCCCCTCCCCCTCCCCCCTCCCCCTCCCCCTCCCCCTCCCCCTCCCCCTCCCCCTCCCCCTCCCCCTCCCCCTCCCCCTCCCCCTCCCCCTCCCCTCCCCCTCCCCCTCCCACCTCCCCCTCCCCCTCCCCCTCCCCCTCCCCCTCCCCCATCCCCCTCACCCCTCCCCTCCCCCTCCCCCCTCCCCCTCCCCCTCACCCCTCCCTCCCCCTCCCCCTCACCCCTCCCCCTCCCCCTCCCCACCCCGTCCCCGTCCCCCCTCCCCGTACCCTCCGTCCCCCGTCCCCGTCCCCCTGTCCCCCGTCCCCCTCCCCCTCCTCCTCCTACTCCTCCTCCTCCTCCTCTCCTCCTCCTCCTCCTCCTCCACTCCTCCTCCTCCTCCGCCTCCTCCTCCTCCTCCGCCTCCGCCTCCGCCTCCTGCCTCCGCCTCCTCCTCCGCCTCCCGCCCTCCGCCTCTCTTCCGCCTCCGCCTACCGCCTCCGCTCCGCCTCCGCCTCCCCTCCTCCTCCTCCTGTTCCTCGTCCTTTTCTCCTCTTCTTCCTCACTCTTCTTCCTCCTCTTCGTCCTCCTCCTCCTCTCCTCCTCTCCTCCTCCACCTCCTCCTCCTCCTCCTCCTCCTCCTCCTACCCCCTCCCCCTCCTCCTCCTTCCCCTCCTCCTCCTCCTTCCCCTCCTCCTCCTCCTCCTCCTCCTCCTCGTCCTCGTCCTCGTCCTCGTCCTCGTCCTCGTCCTCGTCTTCGTCCTCGCCCTGGCAACGCAGCGCGCAGGCAGGGCCGCCGCCACCCCGCTCTCCCAGGCAGGGGGTGGGGGCACGCGCGCCGTCCAGTGTATGCTCTTGTACGTCAGGCCGAATGTGTATTTCGTCCTGGGGCGGCGTGCCCGCTCAGAAGGCCCACTGCAGCAGGAGAGGCAGGACAGCACGAGAGAGCCTGGGAATACGGCGGGGGCACTGGTGAAGGAACCCTTAGATAAGGAATCCAGGGTCTGGAGGCCCGTGGGACTCGAATCGAGGCTTGGCCATGCATATCGCCGCCGCCGCCGCCCTCATCAGATAAGGAACCCTCCAAGGTCTGAAGCCCCTGGGGCACATTCCTTAACGAACGCCCCCACCGTATCAGTACGCATGCCTCTCATCTCGGAGAAGACCCGCTTGAGACAACGAGGGCTCTCAGCAGGTACCGATACCGCTCCTCCGCGGGCCTCTCCCGGGGTGCGTTCTGACCAAGACTTCGAGGCGAATCCGGCGGTGGCGGCGGGGGCCTCCCAGGAGGCCCCAAAAAGGCGAAAGCACGGGAAAGGTAGCGGTATTGGTAAGGCCGTTTCCTCGTCTGAAGATCAGCCCAAAGCCGGTCCCCCCGGGCCCCCTCCCAGGGTCCATCCAAGCAATTTTTCCCAACCATCCTGTGCTGTTGGGTCCTCGCTTTGCAGAGACAGTCCTCGCGTTTCCTCCTTCCTGCCTCCCACTCCTCCCTCCTCCCTGCGTTTCACCCACCCAATACAGCGTTTCGTGGCCCCATAGGGAGCTCCATCGAACCCCCCACTGGGACCGTCCGGGACGCGTGAATTTGTTTTTTCGCCCACCCAGTACAGCGCTTCGTGGCCCCGTAGGGAGCTCCTCCACCGAAACCTCCAGTGGGACCGTCTGGGACGCACGAATTTGGCATTTCCACCGGCCCAATACAGCGCTTCGTGGACCCGTAGGGAGCTCCACCGAAACCCCCAATGGGACGCATCTGGGACGCATGCATTTGGCGTTTTCACCCACCCAATTCAGCGCTTCGTGGCCCCATAGGGAGCTCCACCAAAGCACCCAGTGGGACCGTCCGGGACGTATGAATTCGGCATTTTCACCCACAAGTGACAGCGTTTCGTGGCCCCATAAGGAGCTCCACCGAAGACTCCAGTGAAACCGTCTGGGACGCATGCGTTTGGCATTTCCACCCACCCAATACAGCGTTTCGTGGCCCGCTCCACCGAAACTTCCAGGTGGGACCTTCCAGGACGCGTGAATTCGGTATTTCCACAAACTCAGTACAACGCTTCGTGGCCCCGTAGGGAGCTCCACCGAACCCCCAGTGGGACCGTCCCAGACGCGCGAATTTTGTTCACTCACCCAGTGCAACGCTTCGTGGCCCCATACAGAGCTCCACTGAACCCCCAGTGGGACCGCCCGGGACGCATGAATTCAGCATTTTCACCCACCCACTACTGCGTTTCGTGGCCCCATAGGGAGCTCCACCGAAACCTCAAGTGAAACCGTCCGGGACGCATGAATTTATCATTTTCACTAACCCAATACAGCGCTTCGTGGCCCCATAAGGAACTCCACCGAACCCCCCAGTGGACCGTCCGCATGCGCCCCAAAAACCCAATTTGGCGCTTTCACCCCCCCAAGGCAACGTTTCGTGGTCCTATATAGGGAGCTCCCCCGAAGCCCCAAGTGGGACCGCCTGCATGCGCCCCACACGCCCAAATTGGCATATTCGCCTACCCAACACAGCGTTTCGTGACCCCATAGGGAACTCCACCGACGCCCCCACTGGGACCGCCCGCGTGCGTCCCACAGGCTTTCGCCCACCCAGTAAAACGTTTCGTGGCCCCATAAGGAGCTCCACCGACGGCCCCAGTGCTAACGCCCGCATGCGTTCCCCACCGTCCAATGCAGCGCTTCGTGGTCCCATAGGGAGCTTCACCGAAGAAGATATTCACAACTGCGGTGCCCAAAACTGCTTTTGGTTGGGTCCTTCGCCAAGATCATCTCGAGGTGGATCCAGCAGCGGCGACGGAAACCACCAGGAAACCCAAACGGGATTACAAAAACACGCCAGGGACGGTCGCCTCCTCCTCCTTCCCTCCTTCCTTCCTCCTCCTCCTCCTCCTCCTCGTCCCTCCTCTCCCTCGTCCTCATTATCCTGTTTCTTCCTCCTCCCTCCTCTCCCTCCTCTCCCTCCTCCTCCTCCTCCTCTTCCTCCTCCTCCTCCCCCTCCTCCTCTTCGGAGGAGGAGGAGGACATGAAAGAGGAGGAGGAGGAGGAGGAGGAGGAGGAGGAGGAAGAGGGGGATGATGCTGATGATGATGATGATGATGATGATGATGATGATGATGATGATGATGATGCTGGGATGATGGTGGTGATGGTGATGATGGTGACGGCGATGATGATGCTGGTGATGATGAGGAGGAAGACGAGGAGGAGGAGAAGGAGGAGGACGAGAGGAGGACGAGAGGAGGAGGAGACGACAAGGACGAGATGATGATACCAGGAGGACGACAGGAGGAGGAGGAGGCGGAGAAGGAGGAAAAGGAGGAGGAGGAGGATGTGAAATGAAGCGGGAAACCCTGGCTCCGAAGAGGCCCTGCGGGGAGGCCCTGCGGGGGGGCAAGGCGTTGAAAAATGCATTCTTGCCGTCATCCTTCGATGAGCCGCTCGAAAAGCTCTGCTAAGCGCACTCGCTGCGGTCCTCCGCTGCGCGGGCCCGCTGCAGGAGCCTTGCCTGCGTCGCAAACTGTCGTAATGTGTCCTCCCATTTCATCCAGCGCCGTCTGGGCGGCCGCTTCTCCCGGGTGCTTTCGTTCCGCGTGGCACCTGTCCAGCCGCGTCGTGCGCCATGCCCGCGACGACGCTGGCATTCTGGCCGCGCGCCCTGCCCAAAGCCATTTCTGTTTCGCCTGCGTCTCCACCCAATCCCGTATGCCAGCGCGGTCGGCCAACACCCTGCTTCTGTGCGTCGTGCGAACGATCCCCTCGTGCCACGTCTCATCCGGTGCCCGCCGGGAACCGCATATACAGTGCAATATTTTGTTTGGGTTGACTTCAGCGAACTGTATTATGCAGCTCTCGGTGTCCAAGATCAACCCCCGTAAAGTATGCAGCCCCCAAAGAGCCGAACAGCTTTAGCCTCTTGAAGACAGAAGCGCTATGGTTCAACATAAGTGGTTTCCTCACCCAGAACTTCCTCCAAACGATACCTGTCCTGTGTTCGATTTCTGCCCTGGTGATGTCAGACAGCGAATGCGCAGCCCCCCGAACTTCCAGATTGCCACCTTCTGGCAGCATGCTGAAAGAGAAACCTTCATCTAGAATAACGTCTCCTCGCGCGACGCCGCCTACGCGGTTTGTCAGCGCCTTGCATTTCGTCGGATGTAGTCTCAGCCACCGTTTCGCCGAGGCTTCCGGGGGCATAATCGCCATGCGCTTCAGCGAGAGACGCGATCTGGCCAACGAGTCTTTTGACGCGCGTATCCATACAAGCGCAACATACAAGGCATTCTTTTTACACCCACCTCGGGCTCGTCTGGCAACGGCTGTGCAGCGCCAGGGTCGCCGAGAAACAGTTGACTGCAAAACTTCCTTTGGTCTCCTTTTTTTCCGGTCTAGGACTGAATGTGCCTACTCTTTCGGGAGCCCCAGGTCCAGTCCGTCTCCAGCGTTTCGGCGTGTGGTTGGCTATCCTCTTCAGGATCTGCCGCGACCAACCGCGCTGGGCAGGCCGACGCTGTCATGAACGACGCCTTTGATTCCGACTGTGCGAAAACACCGCGCGTACCGCTTGAATGCAAAGATACACTGTGTCTGGTCGTATTCTGGAACTCCTTCGTACACGCCAAAAATGCAAGAAAATGTCAAACCAGGCTCTGAGAACCCGCTGCCTTGGCCTTCGAAGATGGGCGGAAACAACTGCCCCCTCTTTCGTGACACCGCCGGCAACCGCAGCTAAGCCGGGCGATTGCCCTCTTTTCCATGGCCTGACACTAACCGCGGCCCAGGGGTGTGAGCCACCCGACCCCTACGTTAGGCGCTCGTGGATTATCAAAGCGCACCTGCGAAGCCCCCTTGTTGGGGAGGCGTTCGGCTGATAACCAGTCTTTTGCCAATCGTATCCATATTCGTGCAACGTACGAGGCATAATTTGCACGCCCGCCTCAGGCTCGCCCGGCAACGGCTGTGCCGCGCCAGGGTCGCCGAGAAACAGTTGACTGCAACGTTTCCTTTGGTCTCCTTTCTGGTCTAGGACTGAGTATGCCCACTCTTTCGGGCACCCCTGGTCCAATCCGTCTCCAGCGTTTCGGCGTGTGGTTGGCTATCCTCTTCATGACCTGCCGCGACCAACCGCGCGGGGTAGGCCGACGCTATCGCGAACGACACCTTTGATTCCGACTGTGCGAAAACACCGCGCGTACCGCTTGAATGCAAAGATACACTGTGTCTGGTCGCATTCTGGGACTCCTTCGTACACGCCAAAATTGTCAGAAGATGTCAAACCAGGCTCTGAGAACCTGCTGGTTTGGCCTTCGAACAAGGGAGGGCGCAGCTCAATGGCGTTGCGTCGTCAGCACACGCGACGCGCGCGAGACAAACGCCCCGCACTGATAACCCGGGTCTCCTTGTCGCACCCCTCTCTGCACCTCGAACCGTTTGCTTTCGACCCCGGAGGCCAGCTTCGCATGCGCGGTCATCCCTGTGTGCAATTGTCGCAAGATGCTCACCAAGCAAATGTCCCGCTCCGTGCTGGTCAGGGCCTCGACAAGATGGTCGCTGTAATCCCTGTGGAATGCCTTCTCAACGTCAAGCGTGGCTACCCAGAGCTCCTCCCCCCGCTCGGCCGACTTCTCTGCTGCCAACAGGAGAACGTGTAGGTAGAGCGTCGTCATAACCTTAGCCTCTGCGAAAGCCGTACTGCTGCTCTGCTAAATAATAAGCCTCGATGGACTCCTGCAGACGCATCTGTAAAACGAAGCCGACACGCTTCGCCATCGCTGGGGTAATCGATATTGGTTTGTAATTTGCCACATTTATCCTGTCACTTTTTTTTGACAATGGCTGATAAACGCGCTGTCTTCTAACCCGAAGGCGGGTCCATCCTA